CCAGTCATGAGTATGACTATTAGTGCTCCTTGAGAATCACCAAATCTGGTAGTGGTCTTGGGAACCCCTGACAGCGATGTATATCTACATCATATAATATCTAAACCATAATACATCTATATAGATACTGCATATACCTGTTTTACTTTCACTAAGTACTTTATTTTACCAAAGAATAATAAAGTGTATGTTCTTTTTCTCACATGATGCTTGTTATATTCGTGCATATTATTGTGTGTATAGTTTATATTCCTTTTTTTGGAGTATTGCATTGAGTGAATATATGCAACTTATTTATCAGTCTACTACTGATAGGTGTTGGGTTGATTTTAGTTTGTGACTTTTACAAACAGTGTCGCTATAAGTTTTGTAGTATGTGATTTTTGGTGCATCCACATACATATTCCTTTTGGGAGTATTCTAGGAAAGGAATTGTTGGACTATAGGTTAGTTTACCTTCAGTCCATAGAGCCAGGTAGTTTTCCAAAGTGGTTGTACAAACGTATACACCCACTAGCAGGAAAACACGAGATTTCCAGTTATTCCACATCCTTCCCAATACTTGGTATTTCCTTCACTTTTATATTTTAGCAATCTTGGTATGGATATAATGGAATCATATTGAGGTTTCAATTTGTATTTTCCTGATGAGCACCATTTCATAGGTTTATTGATCATATGGGTATCCTTTTCAAGTGTCTGTCCAAGTCTTTGTCCATTTTATAATGGATTGTCTCTCATTTTCCTTACTGATTTGTAGGAACTCTTTGTAAGTTTTAGATCTATGTCTTTTTACAGATATATTTATTACAAGTATCTTTTCCCCTGAGTTGTGTTTTACTCTCACAATTGTGTCTTTTGATAAAAAGGTTTTAAAGTAAATTTTATCTCTTTTTACGATTAGAACACTTTAATCTCCTATTTAAGAAATCATTGCCTATGGTTTCCTATTTTCTTCCAAAATCGGGGGGGGGGTGTTACATTTAGCTCCATATTTTTTTTATACAATTTGAGTTAGAGGCCAAACTATAATATTTTCCATATATATATGGAAAACCAGACTATTTATTGAAAAGATTATTTCTTTCCCCTCCACCCTATGCTTTTACTTTTATCATAAATAAGGTGAATATATGTGCGTGGGTACATTTCTAGAATTTTCTTTTATTGATTAGATCATCTATACCTGTGCTAATATTACATTGTCTCAATCACTATAACTTTATCATAGGCTGTGATAACATACAGGAACTTTATTTTTAAGATTGCCTTCCTTGTTCCTCTGCATTTCATTTACGTTTTGGAATCAGATTGTCAATTTTTAAAATAAAATTGGGATTCTGATTGCTTTATATCTATAGGTTAATATGGGGAGAACTGACATTTTACCAATATTGAATCTTCTAATCCCTAAACATAGTGTCTTTCCATTTATTTAGGTCTTGTTTAATTTCTCTCAATATTTGGACTCTGAACATTTGGTAATGTTCAGTATAGAGATGTTATCTGTCTCACATCAGATATATTTCTACTCTGATATTTTTACATACATTGTAAATGGCATCATCTTAAAAATATTGTTTTATTTGTTGCTGCTACCTATTTTTGAATATTAATTATATAACCACTGACCTTAATTAATTCTTTCCTGAAATGGATTATCAGTTAATTCTCTTGGGTTTTAGCAAATTATTGTTTTTCCAGTCTCCTCCAAGGTATTGACTGCAGCATTATAATTTAGGTTAGAAATATTATCCTTTCCAGTTCATAGTGACGGTTTGATCAGCTTGGGCATTAATGCCATCCCTTCTTCTGTGCAAACGTGGCCACAAATGTAAGGTACCTCCAACAGGCTTCTCAGGAAAGACCTACTAACAGTCAAGGTCATCTCATGAAACAATCTAACTTCTATAAGAGTAAAATGCTTGACTTGTCTTCAGACCAGTTCTACTGTCCCTATTATTCTTTATCCTAGCATCCCAGTTACTGTAATTATGTCAGAAATAATCAGAATAGTAATACTCCATATGCAAACAGCAATAATACATTTAATTTTAAAGTAAAGAAATATTTAACTTCCAGCTAGTTTGAGGTTGGGATGAAAAGAGTGAGCATGAACCATTGAAGGTCCTCAACTCATATGTTTTCTGTTTCGGTGACTAGGACATTTCTTTGGGAATGTGGTGGTGAAAAGTCTACTTCCACTGTCAATGGGAACAGTAAGGGAGGTTCCAGGGTCCATTTAGGGGTGAATTTAGAAGAATAACCCATTAGGTGCAGGGTATTCCAGACATACAGTACTTATGGGAGAACTGGCACAAACTTTAAGAATAATTCAAAATTTCAGGAAAGGGTGAATGTTGCAAATAGCATAAGTGTCTACTTTTTAATGTCTAATTCTGATCTTACATTTGAGAACCATAAAGAACATTTGGATTTCTTATTTTTACTTTGTAAAATTTAAAGGCATCTACCAATGAAGTCAGAGATTCTCACTAGCAAAACATGGTACATTCTTATGCCACTGAGTTACATTCATTCTTATGACATTTAATAGGTTTTAATGTCTTACCGTGTCTCACATCCAGAATCTAAGTAATATGAGGTAATAGCTAGATTTTCTTTGGACCCTCTGTTCTAAAACATCATACTCTTTAATTCTGATTTAATCACTAGAATAGGTCCTTTGCACTGAAATGTACCAGGAGAACAAATCGGCTATAGAATATAGTCATAAGAATAGCACTGTTTAAGTTGAAGAGAGAATTTTAGCTAAACTGTCTTCCTATTTACCCTAATATAGCCATTTGAGTGGATAAGAAATCGTTGATTGTCACAGAATTCAGCAGAAGAAAACTCATTTGAATAAAACTGATACAGAGATAGACTAGGATTAAGGTGAATGCAATTCACATTAGCTTATGAATTATATTTCTAATTATCTGTGTTCTAATTAGAATCTCAGCTTTAGGAAAAAATATTCTACAGTAGAAGGTGAAAGAAACATATGCCACAATATAAACACACATTTAAAGAAACAAAAAAGGAACAACTATAATTGTATACTAAATTTGTCAACTCACATCTAAACTGCTCTGTTAACTTTCCGAATTGCATATAGTACCATAACTAGTTTGAATAAATATTAAAGCTGAAACATCTACCTTAAATTTAGTTTAAATTCAATTACTAATTTAACAAATATTTATTGTACCTAATATGACTATTACCCTGTACTTGTCCCTGGTATATGGTTTTGTACAAGACTTAAATCACAGCACCACACTTGGTTAAGTAACTATCCATTTTAAGTTTTTAAAAAATTAGAGAAAGCAACACACTACTAAATACGGTCTGAATGGAAAATTTATGTGGTAAAAGGCCACTGCAAATTACAATGTCTTATAGAGACAGGTTTTCTAGAAAACCAAGTTCTTTTTTTAAAAAGTTGATCAAGATATGAAGGACATTAGGAATGTAAGATCCTAGCTACTCAGTACTCATAGCTGAGGCTGTGAAGGTGGGGACCAGGGAAGGGTCTAACTGAGTGATAGGTGGAACACGACACTTGCCCATAGGAGTCATACAGGATGAAGAATGGTCCTTTCTAGACATCAGCCTAGGGATTCTTGGGCATGGTTGTCCTGTTCAATGAAAGTGGCTTAAGGAGTGAAGACCCACCCTCTCCTATGGAGGTAAAGTTGCAATGACGTCAGGAAGGGCAGCCTTCCAAACTCCAAGACTCTCCTGTGTACTCAGTGTTATTTCTACCCATGATCATGCAACTTTTATTGATTTATTCATTCATTTTTCCAATTGGGAAATACCTTACCTACCTACCTTCATGCACATTTATAACAGTAATGTGCACACATTGTAAACATATAGTCTAATAGACTTTTACCTATGTATTTTTTTTTTCTTTTCTGTGAAGCTTCTTTATAATTCTCATGAGTCAAGGGAAAAAGTCTCTTTTTTTATTGCATTTACAAGTCAAAAGTAAACACAAATGCTAACTGAGCAGATTGATGATTAGATGGAAAAAAATGATGAAAGGAAAGATGCCAGCACAAACAGAATATGGCCATTCATTTTTACCCCAAATGAATCAACTGCTGCTCATGAATGTGGGTCTAACATTAATTCTGGCAGAAAAACCCCCAGAGCTCCAACCCTCTGAGGAGGCCTTGTCTGCATGCAGCTAGCTTTTTCTTCTTTTCTTTTGCTAGAATCCATCCACCAAGTAGCTCTCTCTTCCATGTTGGAACAATCAAATAACTCTTAAGTGAAGGATTATAAACACAGAGAACGCAGGAGACCTTCCCCCACTCCAACCTCTAAACACTCATTTAAAGACAAAAATGTTTCTCTTCTCAAAGAAACCAGGCAACTAAGCCATAATACGTAGGGTCAGCAAAAGCTGCCCTGGCTACTAACCCTCACAGATCTAATTTACAGGCATGAGTTGAATTAAAAAACAAGCAAAAACAAAAAAACAACCAAAAGAAACTGTCTTCAATCAACCTGTGCTACTAATGAAGGTAAGGACCAATCTCCACACTTATACTCTTACATGTGCATACATTAGCTTGGTTCTTTTTATATTTGTCTACCATAGAAAGTAACACAGGTTTTTAAACAAGAAACTTGCTATTGTGAGCTGCCGTTGCTGAGCTTTTCCTAATACACTGGTTGATCAGCGGCACAAGATCTTTCAGACACTAAATGGCAGAATAAGCCCTTCTAAGGTTTTCTAAACCCTTCTTATTCTCATAACAAGATTCCTTCAGTCAAGTACTAGAGGATGGGAAGTAGCACCCATTACATTTAAAGACACCCAAGCGAGGCAGAGAACTTGGCTGGCAGTTTAACTGGGCCCTACAAATACTCTGTAATAGAAATGCCACATTTAATTATCCCTGAAGCAGGGAACAAAGCTCTTTCATTTTAGAAATGGAGAGAACAGAATCAAAAAAAAAAAAAAAAAACAATTCTCTTACCTTTTGTAGCAATTCGTACACACTGAGTTTTAGTTTCCTGATAGAATAAAAATAAAGGAAAATAGTCAATGTATTAATAATGTTTCCTTTCATAAACTATAACTATTATGAAGATCAATCTAAGGTTATAAAACAGGATTATAAGCAACAGAATTACAGTATTAAGAAAACTTATTTTTTAATATGCATTCTCAGAGAAATTTTAAAATATCTAAAATGAGAACTTCGAAAAAATTTCCAGCATTTTCTGCTTTTACCTTATAATAAAATAGGCTAGCTTGTCTAGGAGGAGTGGTACAGCATTCTATTTGCATATATTGAACTTCTTAAACTACCAGTAAGAAAAATGTATTTGCAAAGCTAATACAAATCAGATCTAAATACAAGTTTAATTTTGGTATCTTTAGACTCAGACCAAAGCTAACATTACATACTCTCACTTGGACGTACCATGACTAAAGAGCTAAGTGATAATAGAAAGATGGCATCACTGTTTCAGTATAATTTATCTATTCTTTCTTTTAATTTAGCTGTTAGGAATTAAATATTTCTCATGTAGATTATTTTCTTCTTGCTAGACAGAGGGTGCAGAGAAAGAAGAAGCAGAAGGAGAAAAGCACAAGAATTATTATTACTATTTTTTTAATGTTGTGGAGTGATAGTAAGAGATACATGTCCTCGCCAGCTACTTTTGGGCCCACGCCTCACTTCTCCAGAACTTAGTTCATTCAGTGCATATCTTTGAATACATAAGCAGTTGGAAAAGGTGTCAAAGCCAGTGAACAAGAGGCCATTTGTTTTTAAGATGCATGTATAACTTCATCTTGAGTAGCTCTGTGTATTGATAAACCAAGAGTTTACAATTTCCTCTTAGTATTTTTAAATTAAACAAAATAAAGCATTGAGGGAGGAATTAGCAATTAAACATGATTTTGTACTTCTATTACTAAATTGTGACCTGAGGCCTTCATAGTAAGCTACAAGCGGTTATTCTACATTCCCATAAAGACCCAAAGGGATTTTGATTTGCTAAAAGCAATCGCTGTTAATTCTCTATTGGCATTACCAGTCTCTGCTAGTGGGAACCACAGCAATTTTAAACTCTTTGCCAGGATAACTGCGAATATATCGTTACTACTCTGTACTTTGATGAAACTGCAGTGCAGATATATTAACAATTCAAAGAGAATATTCCTATCAAAGTGTTGGCAGAGAAAATCCTTTATAAGAAACACATATTCATTAACACACCTCTCATACAACAGACTAAATAACAAAAGTGAATTTGGAAACTTTCACCTCTCTAAAGAGGAAAACTGAAACACAGAAATGTGTTTCCTAACTCTATGCTACTTTATAACCAGAATGGATTAACGACTTCCATAGGGTTCTCTTTTTTGAGCAGCCCAGTTGCACTAGTGGTATGGAACAATATATAAGTGAAAAGTGGGCATCGGACTGGCCTCCTAAGACTCCCAGTGAAACGAAATAAAAGGAGTGAACAGCATCTTCAACCATGAGTAGCCTTTGGCTTTGGAGTCCATCTTACAAGGTCCCGTGGTACTTTTCTTTGTTTTATACTGTAAGCCAACCATATGGGTAAGCAGAAAGACAAAGCTTTCGTTCAAAAGCACCTAGTCAATACCCAAGTTCTCATGGCCCCTGAAGAAATGCAAATGAATTGTTATGTCTTCCAATTAAACTATTCCAAGATATAACGTGAGTGATGCAACTGTATATCACATATTTAATATCGTGTCCCAGGTGCCCACCTTAAGGACTCCATTACATAAGCCCAGTAATTTCCTATATAGCTACAAGTTCATAAAAATATTATATTCTATTGGATTTTAAATTGTGGAATTTCTATTCTCAACATTTTTTTTTCCCTATACCTTTCTGCCATAAATAAATAAATAAATAAAAGAAGTTTTAGGAAAGGAAATCTTTCAAAGAGAACTGCATGAGGCAAAAAAGGCCAGGTTGTGTCCCCACATATGCAACCACTGGTAGTTTCTATCTTCCTGTTGTGTTTTCCTCTTCAATATTCATTTGGTATCAGCAGCAGTGTTCAAAAACAACTGTGTCCAAAATGGGAAAAGGAGGGGCAGCCAGAGAAACAGAAAGCAGACTTCTGTAATGGCACAGCATCCAGTCATTGCCAGGCAGCCTTCTGTTTAGGTTCTGTCAGATATACCACAGGCACCCTATTACTTTGTAATCACAGGATTGTTCCTTGTTATTTACTATTTGGCTGGAACCCCCTGAAAAGTTTATAAGGGTTTATTAGCCTGCTGCGGAACACGCATTCTGTTTATCCTGCAGTAAATTTAATCTTTCGAAATATGCCACTACTGAGCAACAAGGACAGAACAATGCCTGCCTGATAGTTACTGGGGGTGGAGTTCCGGCAGCCGCACACCCACTACTTCAAATAATTTTACTCACAATTGCTATTGTGGGCTTTCCTGAAGGAGACTCAGTAGAAGCAGTTACTAGGAAACAGGAATCTTGTGCAATGTAACCGGCATGAAGCCTCAGCCCTCCAGTAGGCCCAAAACTGTGCACACTGTTGGGAACAGAAACAATACTCCCTACACACCAGTTTTCCTTGTCTGTCTGCCTTTTTTTTTCTTGACAAATGCTACTGATTATTTATAAAATTTGACTGCAGCTTTTCCTCAGTGCAGTGAAAAAGCAAATCTTGGATGAAGCTCACCTTCTCCACACTGCTCATTGCCTGGAAATAGATGTTGTATCCTTTGCGAGGAGCCAAAGGGGGATTCCAAAAGCCTTGATAGGTCCTGTTGTCACCCACTGTGAATGGGGCAGGTTCAGGCAGATTCCCTGGGGGTAGTTCCGCAGCAAAGTAATAGGGTGCACCCCCGCTCATGGCACTATGATATGTGACTGGAACCTGGTAGCACTCCATGGCTCCTGCTTCTCTCCTGGTTCGATGTGGGTGCAACTCCTCCACGACAATCTGATAAGCACTTTTGAAAAAAGAAAAAAGAGCACACATTGAGAGATTCAGGATACTGAGATTATTTTTTTTAAAAAAACAAGGGGTTTAATATTAACACGCCACATTTAAAAGTATTTATATAGTCTGTGTGAATTTACTGCACTCTTGTTTTCAGTTATTTTGCAATAAAATGGAATTTCACATTGATTCTGCTTTCCCCAACACCAACATAGTTACTAAGGAACTGAAAAAGGCAAGAAAAATCACCATAGAATTCTCCATGCTTTTAAAATCTCAACATTTAAAAAAGCCACCCTAATAAGGACCCTGACATTAACCTGAGACACATCTAGATTAAGTTCTTCGCCTAATATCTTTAAATGTTTAAAGTTAACATTTTTCCTTTAAATGTTATTAGGGAAGGCCCAGCTCCAAGGCCCAACAGAATGAGTGCCTGAGGGTGGTGCTGGAAGCACCAGTTTGCTGTTGTCACAGCCTTAGAGACAGAATGTGCTGACAGGCTTCTCCACCTCTTGACCTTGCCATGGCATCTACATTGGCTCGGAGCTATGCAGATCCAAAGTACAAGTGACATGCGGCAATACGGGCACAGATGGACAGAAATCTGTCCTCACCACCGAAATAGACTGCCTCCTTCTTCTGGAGTGGTTAATAATAAAATGTTACAAATTGTAGAAACAGATGGCATCTGGCCTATTAAAGTTCTAACCCAAACCTTCAAATACCTTTCTTAAAAGTCTTAAAACTTTTCTACAATAGCTATTATTTTATAGAGGAGAGAGAAAAAAAAAAATAATGCAATTTTCATATACAGATCTCCCTAATCTCTAATAATTATTTTTTTAAAATCAATTTCTGAAACTGGTATATTAAAAATATTCTTTCTTTGTAGAAAATTCTTTAGATAAAAAAAATTTAGGTAAATGCACATAGGAAAGTTGCCATTTTTAATATATTTTATGTTACTAACATATTTTTTTAAATGTTTCACATTTCTTAAAAATGATGGGAAAATGCACTGTGGTAGCTTATGTAAACTGAATACAAATAAGCTGAGTGTAGGGCTGCATGTTGAATCTTGAGACTAGGCAAATATGTTCCTTCTATATAGGGAAAATAGTCATTATTCAATGGTTCTCCAGCAGGAATAGAATATTTTCTTTAATAGACTTCTATAAAAAGAAGCAAGGGTTGGGGGGTACAGGGGGAAGAGGAAAGGAGGGAGGGAGGAAAAGAGAGAGAAAAACTGAAACTGCATCAACGAAAATTAAGAGTTTAGAACCTGGTATGAAATTCCAACTTAACATAAACTTTGTTTTACCTACAAACAAAAGACATTCATATATTAAAGGAAAGGAGACTGAACGAAAGAACAGATTCATAGATTACAAGACAGACAGAATTACAATTCATAAATTAAAAACTTTCTTTTCTTCCTAATTATTCCAGTTCCCATTTTCCATTAAAATATTGCTAAGAAACTGGTATGTTGGTATTCATCTCCTTCCTTCTAGGAAGAGTACAGAAATTGTACTAATGTCAGAAATGTCAGAAATTACAATTTGAGCAAGCAACTAAGGCAGAGGTCTACGTTATTTCTAATTATGTGTACTGTCTCACCCTCTGTACCTTTGCCAAGGTGGGTTGCTAAGCTCCTAAGAATGATACTGACAAGATGCTTGCTTTCTGAGGTGACCATGGAATAGGCACTCATCAATTTTAAAATACAGGAATTACATAAGTATAGCCCTAGAGAAAGGAGAAAAGGATGATCACAGCTGACATATGCTATGTTAGGCAAATCTAGCCCTTTTTTGTTTTATTTTTAATTTATAATCCATAGTTGTATGTTATACATTTGCATATCCTGTGGATATATCCACATATGTATATAAACTTATAAATATATGCTCTTCAAAGAAGCCTAACCATATATTCTTACCCTAAATAACAATAATAATTAATCCTTGCTAATCATTTAACCTCATCCTTAAAAATAAATTCCTCATTAATTATTGCATGCCTAGAAAAAAACAGAAAAAAATCTAGTGAACATCCAACCTCAACTAATTCTACTAAATTGACACAGATTCTACATTACAAATTAAGGACACTTCACCCAAGACAACTTGTCTCTCTAGATCTATTAGGAGCAAAGTGAACTGCCAGTACCAGAGAAGAGAGAAGGAAAAAAAGGTGCAGTCTGTCCTTGGGAAAAAAACTTGACTATGACTCCATAGAAGACAAAAGCAACACCTTAGATTGAACTTTCAGATTTGGCACTATTCCCAATTCCATAAAAGATAAATTATTTCAATTTTGTAAGTTGGGAATGTTTTGATAAATAATTTAAGAAAATGATTTTCACATATATACAGATATATATATATACATTCTATTGACATGCATTTAGTCTTAAAATACATCTTTTCTTTACTATCATTATTTACTTATTCTTTGAATGGCTGTAGAAGAAATGAAGCATTGTATTTTTATTACTATTGAGAAACTGAGGCAAAGAGAAATTGAGCTCCCATTAAAACTTACACCATGAGCCTTATTTTTTTCTTTCTCTATGTTATACTATACTGTTATGAACTAATGTTGGTTGTCTACCCCAATTTCTTATGTTAAAACACTAACCCCCAATATGACAGTACTCGGAGATGGGCCTTTGGAAAATAATTAGTTTTAGATAAGGAGCCCTCAACGAGAACCGAATCTGCCAGCACCCTGATCTTGGACTTCCCAGCCCAGAGAACTGTGAGAGATAATTGTCTGTTGTTTAAGTCATCCAGAATTTTATTATCACAGCCCAAGCAGACAAAGACATACACATATAGAAAGACTAATAAAAACTGGCTTCCGAGAGTCTTTTTAAAAATATTTAATATTTTTTGTGCAAGGACTGACATCAGACAGAAAGCTAGATGGCAAGAGCAGATCTCCACACCCCGTCCCCCTCCCACTCCACCACCACCTCCTGCCAAAAGAAATGTCTTCATGACATGACACTCACATCAGTTTTTGGATATTTTCAACCCCAAACTGATACAATAGCCATCACATTTCATATCATATTTTATATTCCAGTGAAGTTTCAAATAGGATAATGGGCATTTAAATAAGTATTTGTGCAATGAATAAATTGTTTTTGCTGTTTCTGTTGATGTTTTGGCTTAGGACATATCCAAGGTACTCTTTTCTTTCTCCATGAAAGTACTTTTTTTGCTTCAGAAATCCTGAACACTATTTGGATAATGAGAATTTCCTCAGTTAGCTTTCTTCCTGTGATTTTTCATTTTCTTTTTTTTTTTTTTATTTTTTTATTTTGTCAATATACAATGTAGTTGATTATTATGTCCCATCACCGAAACCTCCCTCCCTCCTCCCTCTCCCCCCACCCACCCAGGCATGTCCTTTCCATTTGCTTGTTGTAGGAACTTCAAAAAAAAAAAAATTGTAGTTGTTATATCTTCCTCCCCTCCCCCCCATTCTTTCTTTTATCCATTTTCACTCAACACTTATATTTAACAGCTACCACGCAGGTATTGAGGATACAGAGGTGAATAAAAGTCCTGGCTCTCCCGGCTTATATGCACTTTTCTTTTTTTGAAATTTCTGGTATTCTACTATTGTGAGAATACTTTCTGCTCCTCTCAAGACTAATACAGTTTAAAAGGACAACAAAAACAAAAATAACTACTTTCTTTAAAACCTTCTCCACTTATGAATCTGTGATTGTCCGTGGTAAGGACTTAAAGTAACTGAGACAGCCACCCAGAAGCAGATTTTCATGGTCATTTTAAATCATCTCTCCTATTTCCTTTTGCCCTTACACTCAAACCAAGCTGGAATTGTACTATTATTCTTCTGTAACATCACTGAGAAATACTCCCTTGCATTTTAAAATCTTGGTACACCTCTGTCTGCCATACTGCTATCTTTCATTTCGGAAATCCCTCAGCATGCTACCTTTTCAGCATACTGAAAATATGAAAAGTATCTTTCCATGTAATGATACTGCCCAAAATCCTCTAATGGCATTTTACAGTCATTAGTTGGGCTGAGTCTTTAATCAGCTCCTTTCAAGACACGTAACTTTGTGCATCTATTCCTATCTTTTTTCACACAATTGAGAAAGTATGTGTATAATCCATATAGAGATCAACTATAATCACGGTGAGACCATAAAAGCATTTACACTTCATAAAAAGTAACTATAAAAACAAGCAAAAGTCACTATAGGGAGAAATCTCATTGAATTTGAGATGAAACCCTAAACTAAAAATTATAAAGTTCATGTTTAAAAGAAAAGCTCTTCCCTTTATTATATAACTTGAGAGGTTGTTCTCCAACCACGTTTCCACTTTCTTAAATGTTTTCATCCTTTCTACTTTCTTATTATCAATATAAATTAATTAAAGGACAGAAGGTAAGAAACAAGAAATCAAATTAAAAGTGATTTGACTGATTACATGAAATGCGCCTTTGCTTTTTCATTCTTATGGTTGTCTGCCTAATGGTACTTAACTCTAGCTAGATCTAGATATTAGTAGTCTAGCAATTAAAAATATTCCAAAGCCATCTTAATATTTTTAATCACTTTACCCATATTTCATATATTCCTCATTCCTTTTAATTACATTTGAAAATCGTTCTACAGTTGAGTTAAAATCAATATACTGGCACCATAAATCTTCATTCAATACTCGAAATGTGGTTTCCTTATGCTTAAAAAGTTAAAAATGGCACATTTTATACCACATATAATACCATATAAAACCATATAATACCATATAAAACATTATACCACATATAATTTGTAGTATTTTTAGTTTGGGGGGAGGTCAAATGATGACTTCTCATCACTTCTCCTCAGTTATAAGAGTGTAAGAAAACATATACCGGGATTTTTTTCATTAGCTCAAAAAGAAATTATATGAAACATAAGGGAGATAATCTGATAATTAATGCTGAAAAATGTTGGGGCTGAAGCCAAAATTA